AGACATCAAGTTGATTCCAGGTCTCTTAGAGCCCTATTATGGCAGAGAACTAAAGAGGTGACATCACTCTGAGGATGAAATAGTAAAAGCATACTGTTATCCCACATGCCACTTTCAATTTTCCTTACTGATGTGTCACCAGGGCAGCTACTCTGAGCCAGTGGGGGTGGAGGGGACAGTACAGGACTGGGAGCCATTCCCCAGAAGGGAGGTCAGGTGGGCCCCTGGTTTCCTGAGTGCTGGCAGAGATATCACAGTAGAGAACAGCAGGTTGAGACTAGAAGGTGGCAGCCAGGTGCCATGGTGAATGTGGCCAGGAGGCGGTACCACCCTGCCGGCTCCTTTCCATCTGGGGCTCCCTCAAGGGTGATAAAGGCCACTTGATCTGTCCCCTGGGAGCACAGAGGGCTTTGACTGAGGAAGGAGCTTTATAGGACCACCGGGTCACCTTTCAGATATGTTCCCCCATACTGTACCCCTCTAGTGGTGAACCACTTATTGTCCCCTGTCCCTGTTACAGGGGTGCTTGCCTGTTCATGCATCTGTCCTGCAAAACCTGCCTCCCAGTGACCTTGGCAAACTGATCCCTGTTCTATACTGCCTGCCTTCATCGGTTCTGGATGACTGAAGGGTAGCAACAAACAGAAGGTACAAGTAAATGATGCCATAGGACCTTGGCAAGCATGAGTACCCAGTATATCTTAGGACTATTCCACATGCTGGACATGTAATGACCCACTTAATAATAGTCACACTCCTGAGAGATAGCAGGGGCCTACCCTGTCTTGTTCATCATGAAAGCTCCAAGCTCCTACCTGGTACAAACTAAATGTAATAAATAGTGGTTGAATTGTTATCCTCACTTTGCTAATAAGTAAACCAACACACAGAGAGGTTATTTTCTGCTGAAGATCACACAGCCCGCAGGAGGCAGAGCTAGGATTTAGAATTAGGCAGTCTAGTTCCAAAATCCATCCCTCTCACCCTAGTATGTGTTGCTTTTTCAAAATCCAAGTCAACAAGTCCCTCATTTTTGTCTTCTCCCAAGAAAGCTTCTCCTAGGCATCTGATGTTCCTTACAGAAGTAATAACAATGACATGGAATGACACTTTAGTGGCACTGTGGTCTGTTCTCATCATGTGCGAGCTTCCTTGTAATGCCACAGTCTACGGTTCAGAGGAACAGCAGTAACCATTCCTGCCAAGTTCAGTCTTGTGCCCAAAGCTGCATCTGGCACATACTATATACACAATAAATATAAGTCAAATGGGTTAACTTTACAGCCGAAGACTAAGGTTCAGGACACTTCAGACACTTGCCTGATTTGAGAGCCTGATTTGAGCACTGATTTGAAATCAGTCTTATTATCCCCAAATATTGTTTCTACTGCATCACACTGCTGGGCTTCTCTAGGTATTGGTTTCCTCATCAATTAAATAAAGATCCTAAGGCACTTAAGGCCGCTGTGGGGACGAAGGACATAATGGATGAGGAGGTTCTCTGCAAGTAGACAGAGTTACACAGGTTGGGGCCTCCCTTGATTCTGTCTTTGTGTCTCTGAGGCCTACACAGGGCCTGGTGCAGAGTTGGAGCTGTGATGCTGTGATCAGAAGCCTGGTGAAATGCAGGGCATGACTATGCCTGGGATGGATAAATGGATGGATGGATGGATGGATGGATGGATAATGGAAGGATGGGACTGTGTATGATTGGATAGGAAGGCTTGTAGGTAGATGGATGGATAGATAGGTAGTAGCCAGGAGATAGATAAATAGATAGATTTGTAGATGGATGAATTATGGGTGTATGTAGATGAGATGGATGGATGGTTAAATGAATGATGGATGATAGAGATGATAGCTAGATGCTAGATAGATGAATAGATGAATGTGTTGTTTGATGGGGATGGATGGATAGAAGAATTAAGTGAGAGGGTGGGAAGGTGGTCATGGAGATGAAATGGAGGGATGGTAATGAGTGGCTAGATGGATGGCAACTGGATGGGTCGATGGATGACAACTAGAAGGGTAAATAGATGCCTAGATTTGTGGATGGGCAGATATTGATGGTGATTAAATAGATGGAAGCTAGGTAGGTAATGGATCTGCAAATGAAAGGAGGAAAGAATGAATGTCCTTTAGAAAGCATGGGTTGGAGCTGGGTACCAGTGGCTCACGCCTGTAATCCTAGCTACCCAGGAAACTGAGATCTGAGGATCACAGTTCAAAGCCAACCAGGGCAAGAAAGGCTGTGAGACTCGTATCTCCAATTAGCCACCAGAAAACCGGAAGTGGCGCTGTGGCACAAGTGGTAGAGCACTTGCTTTGAGCTGAAGCGCTCAGGGATAGCACCCATGACCAATTTAAAAAAAAGAAAAGAAAAGAAGAAAAAAGAAAAGGAAAAGAAAGAAAAAGAAAAGAAAAAGCAAGCATTGTTGTTGGAGGCATAGCTTAAGTATTAGAGCACCTGCCTAGCAAGCATAGTCTCCAATTTCAAACTTCAATGCTGCCTAAAAGAAAAAAAAAGAAAGACCTATTAAAAGAAAAGGAAAACACACACACACACACACACACACACACACACACACACACACACACACACACACACACACACACACACACACACACACACACGGCCTCACATCAGTATTTTAGTTCTTATCCAGCAGAGGGCGCCAAGGCTCCAATCACTGGCCTCCAGCAGGAGGGCACACCTGTAGTCAGAGCCGGGCTTCCCCATAGCTTGTTGGCCGCTCTGGCAAGTGAAAAGCTCAAGACACAAAGGACACAGAGGACATAGGAGGAAGATGTAAAAAACACAGGCTTAGGGACTGGGAAGGTGGCTCAGTGGTAGAGTGCTTGCCTTGCATGTATGAGGTCCTGAGTTCAATTCCTCAGCACCACATAAGCAGAAAAAGCCAGAAGTGGCGCTGTGGCTCAAGTAGTAGAGTGCTAGCCTTGAGCTGAAGAGCTGAGGGACAATGCCCAGCCCCAGAGTTCAGGCCCCATGACTGACAAAAAACAAAAACAAAACAAAAAATACCCCACAGGCTTAGAGACAGAGTTGCACTTACACTGTACTGGGGGCCCCAGAGAAAGTGCTGCGCACCGGAGCTCAGTTCCCCTTTATAAATGGAGACATATGGGTATTTTCTGTGCTTGTCAGGCAGACTAAATGAGATATAGTGCAGGAGCTGCCTGGTGTGCTGAAAGTCCTCCACACTTACAAGTGAGTCACCTGGCAAATCAGGCTGTCCAGAAAGATCCTCCCTCTGAGGATCCCAAGGATGCTTCTCTGAGAGTAACTTCTATCCCAGTGCCTCTGGTTCCTAGGGAGTGAACGTGGCTCCACACTGCTCTGCCACCCAGCCTAATAACTTCACACCTACCAGGACCTTGGGGTACAAGTTGCTAATGTGAGAAATGAACATTTTAACATGGAACTTGACCGGCACTTCCCCAATGACTGGGTGTGAATTTGCCATCTAATGTGGTGTTAAGAGGCTTAGTTTTCCCTCTGGCATTGCTGTCCCTTTTGATCCCCAGGGCCAACAGGGAAACTTACCACAGGGATGACTGGCTGGAACCAGCCTGGGCTACCGAGGGAGATCTTCTCTTTAAAATAGCAACAAAAGGCCAATCTACCCACTTTGCTCTCGCTCTAGTGCACAAAATAAATAAATAAATCTGTCAGTAACCTGAGGTAGGTGACTGTTCTGAATTGATGGGAGATCCAGCCCCAAACCAAAAACAGCCCCAGTGCTTCAGTGGTGGTCTGGCCCCACGTTTACTAAGGGTAGAGACAGAGGTCCATATGAATAAGGAGTTCTCAGTTTACCCTTTTTTTTTATGATGCCAGTCCTGGAGCTTGAACTCAGGATCTGGGCATGTCCCTGAGCTTTACTGCTCAAAGCTAGTGCTCCACCACTCAAGCCACCACTCCATGTCCAGCTTTTTCAGTAGTTAACTGGAAATAAGAGTCTTAAGGACCTTCCTGCCTGGGCTGGACTTTGAACCACAATCCTCAGATCTCAGTCTCCTGAGTAACTAAGATTACAGGTATGAGCCACCAATACCTGGTTTCAATTTAACTTTTTATTATCATCAGGTAGTGTCTAGGACGGGTGTGCAGGACCCTGCCTGTAGAAAAGACCACCTCCTCCCCAGTGTGGTAAGCTCCCTGGTCTGGTCTCCACTAGAACCTCGGCCCTGATAAACTTCTCAGATACGTTGTATTCATGAGCCTCTGTGTCCCTGTGAGTGCATTCTCTATACCAGCTCTGGTTTTGATGCCAGTAGGTTGAGGGTGATTGCTTTAATCTGGTGGGGAAGTTAGTTTCAGAACTCGGTTGTGGGTGGGTAGAAGGTGAGACTGGGTTTAAAAGGGGATCCCTGGCCTGGTGAGTCTGGGCTCTTCCTCCTCAACGCATATGCACATGAATGAGCCTGAGCTGTTGCTTCCCTTCATCCCCATATACAAGATGGAGCTGGACAGTAGCACAGGGCCAGTGGCAAATAGCAAAGAGTGGAGGAAAAGTATATTAGGCCCTGGGGAACGTGCGCAGCCTGTAGCATTTTCCAATTTTTCTCCGTGGCCCCAGTGCCTCCAGGCCAGCCTGGCACAGCATTTGTAGGATTTGTCATGGACTGAGAGTGAAATGCACAGAGCTAACACTGTTGCTGTGCCCCAGGGTGTGAGCCCTGTGTGTGACTGGGTGTGAGCCAGGGAGAAGGCAGGTCCTGATGTGCTTATAAACCAACAGTGGGCTGCTGCTCTTACTCTGGCCTCTGGGGGCACCCTTTGGGACTTCCTTGCTTCCTTCATGACTGTACTTCCTGATATCCCTGCCCACCAGCCCTTACTCTAAGGGTTAGCCCTGCCTGCCACAAATACCCCAGCTTCAAAATGCCAGGCTCTGAGCTCTGACTCCAGCATGGTCCCTATCAGGACAGCAGGTCTAATCCACTTTGCTTCCGTTGAACCTTTTCTAGGTCCAGACCTGGCTGCCTTTGGTCCACATCCTCAGGGGATCCCAGTTTCCCCACTGCCATGTCTTCAATTGGAATGTTGCTGTGGGTAGAAACAATGTGGATCGGTAGGACTAGGGCTAGAATGACAGTTCTGCCTCTGGCTGACCTGTTACTTCAGTCCTAAGTGTCCTTACCTATGAAGTGGAGCAAATATGCCGGCCTCCCAGGACAGCTGTGAGGTGGGGACAGGCATGCCTGGCACCAGGGTGCCCAGTAAATGTCACATGTTAAAGCTAGATTCAGAACACTTGGGGCCTGCTGGGCACTGGTGGCCAATGCCTGTAATCCTACCTACTTTGGAGACCGAGATCTAAGGAAAGAGATCTAAAGCCAGCCCAAGCAGGAAAGTCTGTGAAACTCTTACCTCCAATTAACTGGCAAGAACCAGAAGTGGATCTGTGTCTCAAGTAGTATAGTGACAGTCTTGAGAGAAAAAAATGCCAAGTGAGAATTCAAGACCCTAAATTCAAGACCCAGTATAAGAAAGAAAGGAGGACCCAAGGAAGGAAGGAACGAAAGAAGGAAGGAAGGAAGAAAGAAAGGAAGGAAGGAAGAAAGAAAGAAGGAAGGAAAGAGGGGGAGGCAGAGAAGAAAGGAAGAAAGAAAAAGGAGGAGAAAGAAAAGAGAGAAAGAAAGAAGACAGCAAGAGTAAGAAGAAAGCAAGTATGGAAGGAAGGAAGGAGAGAAGTTAGGAAGGAAAGAAGGAAGGACGGAAGGAAGGAAGGAAGGAAGGATGGAAGGAAGGAAGGACAGAAGGAAGGAAGGAAGGACGGAAGGAAGGAAGGAAGGAAGTAGCCAGACTACTAAGTAGAAATCTTGCTGGGGATTACACCAGCTCTTAATCCCATGGATGGTTCAGAATTCCTTCCCTATTGAGCCTTGGGAACCATGCCAAAGGCCAGGCTAGAGGCAGAAGCTTACAATTAAAGCTGGAGTAGACACTAAACACAGGAAGCAAACTTTAGGCCAAGCCGAGCACCAGCAACAGTTCCCAAGGGGAGCTAAGTACCAAACCAGTGCCCAGCTGCATGTGCGTGGCATGTCCATGTGCCCCCATGTGGGGTGGGGTTGCTTGTAGAGCTGGCATAGGCTCTCAGGGTGTGGACTGTGGTAGGATTTCTACCATCCGAGAACCACATCTGGCTTTCTGAGCCCTCTTTGAGACAGAGGCAGCCAGCTGGGCTCAGATGCTTCCTGGAGCCAGCTCACAGCCCAGCAACACTATCCATCATGGGGAGGAGCCTAGCTCAATAAGGGCCTCATGGCATCAGCTCCAGCCAGGACACTGAGAAAGAGGGCTCTGGGTGGGGATAAGGAAGAAGGTAGGAAGCTGGGAACACAGGGATCAGAAAAGACTGGAGCATGTGTGAGGTGGGGGTGGGGGGTGGGGAGGATTGGGGGGGCAGGGGGAGGATGGGAAGGGATAGAAAGGGGAAACAAAGGAGGAGGCTACAATGCTTGATAAGAAATGTACTCATTATCTTGCCCATGTAATTGTAACTCCTCTGTACAGTATTTTCACAATAAAAATGAAAGAAAGAAAGAAAGAAAGAAGGAAGGAAGGAAGGAAGGAAGGAAGGAAGGAAGGAAAGAAAGAAAGAAGGAAGGAAGGAAGGAAGGAAAGAAAGAAAAAGAGAAGACTGGAGCAGCAATGGCTCAGAAGGGAGTTGGGGTGGTGACGCTCAAATTGTTATGAGGTAAGCAGGGAAATAGAATTCAGAACAAAGTTATTACAGACAGAGACAAGGTAGAAAATCAGAGAGAAACCAGAAACAGACAGACAGAGCCTGTAGAGATGAAGACTGGAATTAGATGTTGGAAGAGGGGAAGAAAGTCATAGAAAGAGGAAGAGAGGGAGACTTCAAGAAAACAATGGGACAAAGAAGAGAGAGCATGAGATAGATAAGGAGCAAATAAAAAGACAATTGCCAGGGACAGGAAGTTGGAAAGGGGCTAACTTCTAAAGAAGGAGCCTTAGAATCCACTATAGCCAATCTTCTCTCCCTTTCCCAGATGAGAACACTGAGGCCTAATAAGTGTCAGAATCAGACTGAGAATGCAGGCAGCAAAGGTAGTAGAATGAGAGGAAAATGTAAGATGCACAGGTGGCTCCAAAGGGGAGGGAGAAGGAAAGACAGAGCAAGAGGAGATAGTGCAGGGCACCGTCTTTCAGAGTGATGAATGCACAGCCACTTCTTAACACTCTGCCAGTGGCCAGCAGACACTAGGGCTTCCTGTCTGACCCAGGTCCTGGCTGGACACAGGATAGAAAAAAGAGCAGAGCATGAGGCTGGGACTTAGAATCCTCTTGGCAGGGTGCTGCGTAAGCAGACACTGCTATGGGAATTGCAGGTTCCTTCAGATCTAACACAGGAAATCAGAAGAAGGTGGGCCCCCTGGGGTCGGGCCTCCTGGCTAGCCTAAGAAATATCAATCTGCCAACTGTCCTCAGAGCTGGGGATTCTGAGCCATGTGGTGTTTCTCAGCCTGGGACCACATGGTGTAGGGACCAGTGTTGTTGAAGTGAGTGTGAATCAAAGGCACAGCTTGCAGGCACACTTAGCCACCCTGAGGAAAGAAGACTTACAAAGAACTAAAATGTTCCATGCATCAGGGCCTCGGATCAGAACTCTCCTATTCTTGGAGTTCCAAGATTTTAATGAGGAGTTTTCATCTGTTTTCATTTAGCTGACAATATTTCTTAAGAGCTCTTTCCAGTTAGGAAAGCAAATGGTTTCCCTTTTAGTAGCAATTCAAAAATAAAAGACATTTTCAAAGAATAAGACTTGAATTTCTGAACTTAAGATTGTGTGGTGGGGCTAGGAAGGTGGCTCGGTGGTAGAGTGTTTGCCTTGCATGCATGAAGCCCTGGGTTCGATTCCTCAGTACACATAAACAGAAAAAGCCAGAAGTAGCACTGTGGCTCAAGTGGTAGAGTGCTAGCCTTGAGCAAAAGAAGCTCAGGGACAGTGCCCAGGTACTGAGTTCAAGCCCCAGGACTGGAAAGAAAGAAAGAAGAAAGAGGGGGGGGGGGAGGGAGGGAGGGAGGGAGGGAGGGAGGGAGGGAGGGAGGGAGGGAAAGAAAGAAAGAGAGAGAGAGAGAGAAAGAAAGAAAGAAAGAAAGAAAGAAAGAAAGAAAGAAAGGAAGGAAGGAAGGAAGGAAGGAAGGAAGGAAGGAAGGAAGGAAGGAAGGAAGGAAGGAAGGAAGGAAGGAAGGAAGGAAAGGAAGGAAGGAAGGAAAGAAAGAAAGAAAGCTGCTTCTGGAGAGGAGGCAAGGGGATCCTTATTTGAGGACAGCTCAGGCAAAAGTTAGCAAGACCTTACTAAAAAGCCAAAACAAAAGCCGGGCACCAGTGGCTCAGGCCTATAATCCTAGCTACTCAGGAGGCTGAGATCTGAGGATCGCGGTTCAAAGTCAGCCCCGGCAAGAAAGTCTGTGAAACTCTTATCTCCAATAAACCACCAGAAAACCAGAAGTGTTGCTGTAGCTCAAGTAGTAGAATGCTTACCTTGAGCTGAAGAACTGAGGGACAGCGCTCAGGCCCAGAGTTCAAGCCCCACGACCAACAAAAAATAAAATAAAATAAAATAATTTAAAAAAATAAAAAGCCAAAACAAAACAAAAGATCTAGGGACATGGCTCTTTTTACCACTCACTTATGATAGCGTGCTTGCCTAGTAAGCATGAAGTTCTGGGTTCAAATCCTACTCCAGTACAACTGACAGAAGGAAAGGAAGAGGGAAAAGGAGAGAGGAAGAAGGGAAACAGGAAGAGATGAGGAAAGGGAGGGAGGAGTAAAGGAGGGAAGAGGAGGGAGAAGGATGATAAGGGAGGGGGAGGGACCAGGAAGGAGAAAGAAAGGGAGAGGAAGGGGAGGGGAGAGAAGGGGAGGGAAAGAGAAAGAGAAGGGGGAGGTAAGTAGGGGAAGGAGAAAGGGAATGGAAGAGGGAGGAGGAAGAGAAGGAGGGAGGAGGAAGAGGGAAAGGGAGGGAGATAGGGAAGGAAATGGTGGAGTGAAATCATAGAGAGATATGCCCTCCAGATCTCTCCCCTGAGAAGTTCTGAGAGGAATACCCCAAAAGCAGTGAGCCCTTCAATTTTGGCTTAAAGATTCAGGACCCCTATGTGGTATAGTGATGGCTGACTCCAGACCTGGGCGAGGAAAGTACAAAGTGAGCCTGGAGTAGCTTGCTGGACCAGAAAGCCAAAAGTAACTGCTAAAAGAGTGATGAGACATGTCACCAAGGCCCAGAAGGTACCTTGTAGGAGTTCCGACAGGGCAAATCTGGATCACTGTGCTTCAAAGCAATAATAGCAACAGATTATGAATCCTTGGATAAAATAAGAGGCCTTAAATCCAAACTGTTGGTAAGGGAAAGATAGAGAGAGAGAACTAAATGAAGCACAGGTTATTTATATAGTCACAAAACACTGATTACAAATGGAAAAGCAACCATTTTCCAGAGGCTTTTTCCATGGAGACACAAGGCAAGCAGCCAAGAGATCAAAGTACCCATCATGGTGGCTGGACAAGCTGAAATCATGTGCCATTGACGAGGCCAGAGCAACTCCTGGGATATTCCTGCTAAAAATCCAAGCCTGAATCTCATTGTGAGAAGGCATCAGATACCCTAAATTGAGAAGTGCTACACAGAAAACTGGCCTGCAATCTTCATAAATATCAAGTTCATCAAAGACAAGGAAGGTCTGCCTATAGCGCTGCTTCAGTGCTATACAGAGAGACAGAACAGGGAGACACTGTGAACTGGATCTTTTGGCTACTGAAGACATTATTGGGATAATTGCAGACATGGGGCCTAAGGAGCAGATAGGTAATATACCTATATTTGTTTCCTGATTTTGATGGTCCCATTGTGGGTACATAATCATTCTTGTTTATAAAAAACACTAGATCTTGTATTCAGGAAAAGCAAATTAATGTATATTTTGCTGGCAGGTTTCTTTTCTTTTCTTTTTTGTCGGTTGTGGGGCTTGAACTCTGGGCCTGAGCACTGTCCCT